TCAACTGGACTTGTTTAGTTGAATATCACTAACTGCTAGTCACTAGATCTGCTAATCTGTTCTAGGGCTGCAACAACTAATCGACATAATCGATTATAATCGATTATTGAAAAAGTTGTCAACTTTTTCAATAATCGATTAATCGGCTTCCGATCAGTTGGCCCTGTTCACGGCTCCACACACGCTGCGCGCCACACCTCTTCCCCACCTCACGCTCGCCGCTGCCAGACCCGCCCGCCCGCATCCACGCCGCACCTCCTCCCCGCCTCACACTCATCGCCCGCCCACATCCACGATTGGCACAGGGACGCGGGGAGAGGTAGTAAGGGGGAGCAGGTGTGGGGGTATGACAGCCGCTGATAGACAGGTCCGATCTCAGAAGCAAGTTGCTGGAAGACTGCTCAGGTCAGCCTGCACTTCCCACACATGGTGCTCTATAATGTATTGCTGGGATTTGTATTCCTCTATAGCTTATGGTACATTGTGCTGTATATTATACATAGGAATACACATCCAGCAATACATCATACACTGTATGTATAATGTATTGCTGGGATTTGTTGTATTCCTATATAGCTGGTGATATTCTGCACTGCACTGTATAGAGGACTACAAATCCCAGCAATAGTACATTATACAGCGCAATGCAGAATACCACCAGCTATAATGTACTATTGCTGGGATTTGTTGTAGTCCTCTATAGCTGGTGATATTCTGCATTGCGCTGTATAATGTACTATTGCTGGGATTTGTAGTCCTCTATTGCCGGTGCAATTCTGCATTCATTGCTGTATAATTTTACACTTTCCTTTTCACTATATTGCACACCACACTATTTTTTTCCACCGCTCCAAGCTTGCTCCTGTGATGGACTACAATCTCAATACAAACTAGTAGTCCCATCACTGGAGCCATTTTTAATTTTTTTTTTATTGTTTATCCGATTAACCGATTAATCGAACTTAATAATCGGCTAACTAATCGATTTTGAAAATAATCGTTAGCTGCAGCTCTAATCTGTTCTACTTTCTTTGAGTATTAGTATTGCTGCAGCTATTCTATAAAAACCATCTGTGCTTTCTTTTGTTTTCCTCAGTATTGTACTTATGTAGATCTTGCAGAGAACATACCGGTTCCTTTAAATCAAAACTACAGTATAGTGCTTAAATAAGGGGTGTACAAATTTAATGTGGAATCCAGGAGCCAGTCTGTCCAATCCAGAAGTCAGCAGGATTTTATTTAGGAGCCAGCTCCATTGACAACAGCTAGAGAAAACCTCAGAAGTTAGGTGCCAGCCACAGTTTTTAAGAAGCGTTGGCTCCTAATATTTTCCTAGCCTTGGTTTAAGTGTATATATTTTTATATTCGGGACCAAATCATACAACATTACTTTGTTTAGGTAAACTTGAACTATTGTATATAAATGTCATATTTACAAGTGCGCAGGTGGACCTCTTGACCTCTAGGGTCTGTTGACTGCAGTATTTGCTGCTAAATTTTAAAGACTGAATAACCTGGTGTAACTTTTCTTCATATTCAGCTCTTGGAACACAAAGGCAGCTGAAGGAGTCAAAGGAGGGATCCCCCCTTTCAGGAGATTTGTTCTGTAATTCACAGAGAGAGATGTAAGCAATGCTAACTAATAACAGTGCAGCACAGGGAGAGAGCATAGGAAATTAATCAGCTCACGTGATTTTTGACAGGTCCTCCTTTTTTTTCCCCTATCAAACAAATAAAATACCTTTTTTAATGTTATATTTTTGCAATCCAAAAGGGATCAAATAAGAGTTAGGGTTTACATACACTTTATTGTATACTCACTGAAGATATGTTTAGTGTATCTCAAAGTTTACTAATATTTAGGTACATGTTTACGTTTAGGGGACATTGGCATACAGAATATCGTTAATTTTATAAATCTTTGAAACATGTTCAGGGGTGTGGAATTCCTATCGCCCGACGCCCGTGACAGGCAGTTTTGGGCGCCGGGCGAGTAGTTTTTCTACATTTAGCCCGGCTGTGGGCAAGCAGCACAGCTAAATGTAGTGTGGGAGCCGTTTCTTACAAGTGATTGTGAACAGCTGTACAGCCGTCCAAAACCACTTGTACAGAGCCTGAATCTCACTCCCCTCTTCCCCTACCCTTTCTCTCTCTCTCCGGCGGCCGGCCGTGTACCTTTCTCGGCTGCCTCTCTCTCTGTGCTTCTTTTGCTGTGGTCTTCGGTGTGTGTCCCCCCCCCTCTTGTGGGGGATCCGTGCCTACGGCAAATTAGGTTAGGGAGCAGGGCAGAGAATGCTTCTCTACTCGGCTCCGTGTAAATAGTGACAAGGGAATGCAGCCTTCCTGTCACAGGAGAACCAGCACAGAACTGTGCTAGAACTCCTGTGTTGGAGGTGAACAGGTCAATAAAGAGAACCTGTCACCTCCAAATGCTATCACACAAGGGGCTTGTTACCCTTGTGTGATAGCAATAAAGTCAAGTGAAAGAAAAAAAGTAAAAAATAACATTTATATATATATATATATATATATATA